TGCAGCATAATTTCTGTACATATAGATATTTTGAATATCTCTGCCCATTTTATGAACAGTGTTCATTTCCTTAGGAGAAGGATCTGGAACAATCTTCAGCATGCTCTATTAAAGTATAGTCTAATGACCAGTCCCAGAGGATGAGGAGGTAGCAAGGAAATAAAGAGAATCCACAAAAGATAACACACAAAGGAGGCAGCTACAATAATATTTTTTTTCTCCTTTTAATGAGATGAATACACCCTTAGCTACTGTATGTTAATGTGGCCATGTTATGATCCAGAAAAAAACATGTTGTATATCTTGCCAGGAACATCCCTGTTCAGTAATCAATGCCATGCAGCAATTTCAGGCAAGGCGCATTGATGAATTTTCCCAGAGAAGGGCAGCCAGCAGGTAAATAGGTTCTAAAGGCAGAAGGTGTTTTACTGTAATGCAATCCATTAAGGTAAAAAAACCTTCTGCATGCAGCTCCCACTCCAACCCCCTAAATACTTACCTAAACCTGATCTTGATCCAGCGATGTGCACAGGAGCAGCAGCTCTCTAGGCTCTCTCTCTCTCTCCTCATTAAACAGAGCGGCAGCAGTGGGATCAATTGTCTCCTGCTGCTGTCAATCACAGCCAGTGAGAAGAAAGTGGGGGGTGGGGCCAAGCCATGCTCTTTGTGTCAATGGACTTAGGAGCCAGCATGTACTAGTGCCCCCAAAGGAAGAAAGTTGTTATTGGGGCACTCGGCAGGTGCACCAGTGAGGAACCCCAGAAGAGAAGGATTGTGGCTGCTCTGTGCCAAAGCATTGATGAGTATGACATGTTTGTTATTTTATTTTAAAAAATAAACCGTTAGAATCAGGGGCGGACTGACCATTTGGAAACTCGGGCACTGCCCGAGGGCCCGGGGTCAGTAGGGGGCCCCATGAGATTCCCCTGGTACCTTTTTCATAGGCTTTTTGGGTTTGAGCAAGGACACAGGGGCCCCATGATCCCCTATTGCCCGGGGGCCCCATGAGTTGTCAGTCCGCCCCTGGTTAGAAATAGTTTAATGCTGTTGGTACACACTACCTTTCATGGATGGAGATGTCATGAGGTCAGCCACCTCTAAGTCTCGGCAGAAGAAATTTTTGTTTTTAGAGATGAATCTAGCCAAATTTGTGCACATTACAGACCCAAGCAGAATCCAAACAGGCCTGCATCATAAATCCAGGGAGTAAAATGAATCAAACCTGGATTAAGATAAGTCGTTTTTATATTTTGGTTTGACTTTATATGTATATAGGTAACTATATTGTAGCTTGTGCTAGATGTGTTTGTCGGTAGCCTTTGCCACATTTCAAATGCAAAACACAGCCTTTAATGCCATGTATTATTTAAGAATGTGATAACAGTGAAGCAAAGCAACTTTGGACCAAATTAGAAAATCTTTCAGTTGATCAGAAATAACATTCACAGTGGAGACACAAACATTGCAGAGTACGTACTTAAGAAAAAATAATCATGCATTTGGAACTCCAGAGAACAATTAAAGACATAGTTGTGCAAGCAATTTTACCTATCAAAGCATTTGCAAATTCATCCATCCAGTCTTGTGATTCACACACCCCTACCACCCTGCATAACTATACAGGTTACAACAATATTTCATGGTACAGCTTACTCCACTGTAATATCAGTCTGTTAATTGAAGAGTCAATCGCCAACATTATTTGGCTCCAGTAATCGGGCAGGTGCAGAAAGCTGCAGAGCTAAACTTTAAAACAGTAGTGTGTCACCTATCTGGCTATGCATTTTGGCAGAAATTCATACATCACAATGACAGTGGAACAGATTTACACATTTAATTACAAATCTGTGTGGTGTAATAAGATTTTAAAGTGCTACTAGGAGTAAGCTTGCTTGTTTTACAAACATTGTAGGCATGTTAATGAAGTTAACTGGATTCATCAGCAAAATTTGCAGTCTTCATTGAAAACTCAAGAGTATATATTCCACATTCTACACATAGTTTTATTATCTACCCATCTAATTTGCTGCATTGGGGGAAGTTGCTATCACTCATGGGTGGTTGTTTATAGTCACATAATAAATGTTCATGTCTTGGCATCTCTTTGTTTCAGAGATAACCAGTCAACCATAAGCTCACTCACAAGTATGGGGGAGACCGAGAGTGTTCGATCCTGGGTAGGATCATCAGCCAGCTGGGCATCGCCTTCTGGAGGCAGCATGTGTGGACGCCTTTCAAGGCAGTCAACATCTGATAATTTGAGTGTTCATAGTTTACGGTAAGAGATTGTGGTTTATATACTTTCTGAAAATAAAGTGTAACTAAATGATTATGCAAAGTATCAGTAAAGTTCAACAAAATGGTAAACAAGGTATAAGAGTACAGATTATTTGAACATTGCAAAGCCAGCCCTGGTGTCTAGTTAGAAATACAGTTTCCAATACCAGTAATAGTGAATATTCATCCCAGTTTTCCCTAGTAGTAATTATTTATAAAAAATATTTGAGGTCTTTGTGGGACACATGTAGTCAAATAACTTGTTGCTGTAGTGGGTAATATAAGATTTGTCTTTTAGTTTATACTGGCAATTTTAGTGTGGTTGAAAATTTTCCAGTAATGATTTTACTATAAAACCTCATTCCTGGTTGGCATTAGTTAGAATTAAAGGCCAATCAATGGTAGTCCCAGTGAAGAAAATTTGAAAACCTGTCAATCTTAGTGAGAAATAAAGTGCTGGTCCTAGTGGGAACTGCACATCCCATTATGTTCCTAATAACTGGCCAGAAATAGCTCCCACTGCTTTCACTCTGCCATTGTTCCCTGGTCACATGGGCTGCCTTCTCCTTTTTTCAATTAACTATTTTGTGCTGAAAATATGAGTTTAAAGAAGAACACTTAAAGTAAAAGGTTTCTGAGTCATAATTGCAGAGAATATGGATGCAGCTATCAAAATGTTAACCCAATAACCCAGGATATCAATTTAAAGCCTACATGGAATTGTCCAATTGTATGACATTTTTACTTAAGGCATACAGTACATGACGCATCCTTTCCTGGGGCCAAGATTGTGTCAGTGCCGTCGCCCTGTTAGCCATTCATGGTGACCACTAGGGAATTTAGTTTCTAAAATAATAATTTTGCCTAAAATACATTAAATTGTTCACAAATGTTTGCATTGCATTGCTTCCTTTAAATGATTCCATTGGCAGGGTAAGATATGGTGAAATCCAGGCATTTATTTTTTTGTTTTGGATAGAATGAGGTAAAAGTTTGATTCTTTGGGTGTTACTGCCTTGATCATTGGGGTGTTACTGCCTTCTGAAACCCCAACTGGGAAAAGGGGAAAAGGATAACTCTCCACTGGAGACATAACAAGCAAGAAGAACACTATTTAATAGAGTGAACATGACTAGAACCTCTATCATTTCCTGTTTTGGATTAAACCCCTAGTGCAGTGGTCTCCAAACTGTGGCCCGGGGGCTGGATGTGGCTCTTTGCTTGCTTTTATATGGCCCTTGGACCATTATTCCCCCCGCTGTCGGCAACAGTAGGGTATAGTTCCTGCCACTTACACCAATACCAATAATGGAGCACTATTCCTCCTTCTGACACCAACGATGAGACACTGTTTATTTCCACCGACACCAAGACATTTTCTACTCCCACTGGCCACAGTCTGGCTCTCCTAAAGTTTGAAGGACAGTAAACTGGTCCTTTTTTTTCTTCAAAGTTTGGAGACCCCTGCCCTAGTGAATGAGAGAGTGTCAGATTGTGAGAGAGTGGGCAGGAAAAAATAAAAATCCTGGAACAATAGTCAAGCAAAGGTTTTAGCCCTTAGCCACTCAATCAAGTCTAAATAAAATATATTCACCAGAGTAATATACTGTATGTAATTATGTAATTTCATATATAGGTTAGTAATATTTGAAATTTTTTTTTAAACATATAGAACACATGTACAAAACACCTATTCTGGGAGCATAAACATGGCCCTTTTGCGTGCAATACGGATCTCTGCACCTATGTGAATGAGCCGCAAACGTTAGGCTATCTTTAGGCTCAAGTTTTGGAACCAAGTCTTTCAAAGTCAAGAAAACAACACTAACAGACCCTTACCTTAAAGTTTACCTGTGCCTTGACTAAAGACATTAAAACTTGCATATATTCATAGCAAGCAAGAAACAAGCATTAGAACAAGCCATACCTGACCTCTGTACTATGAATGCGGTTATCCTTAAAGTGAAACTAAAGCTAAAAATGTTTTTCACCTTAATGCATTCCTAAATGTTTTCTATTTTTCTGTCCTCCATCTCTCCTGTGTGGAGGGGAAGAGGGGGGAGATAGATCCCGTGCTGTGCATAGCTGCATCTATTCTCCCCTTTCTTCCCCTTCACACAGCACTCAAGCAGCAGCAGGAGCCATTGGCTGCTGTCAATCACAGACAGTATGGAGGAAATGTGGGGGGGGGGGGGGTCTTGCTGTGTAAGTCTATGGAGAGAGGCTTGCTATGGGGACACACAGAAAAGAGGAGAGGCCAAGATCACAGGCGGGGGAGCTGAGAAGAAGAGGGGGATCGGGGCTGCTGTGTACAATACGATTGCAGAGAGCGGGGGAGTATAACATGTTTGCTATTTTTATTTTAAAAAAAATTTGACTTTAGTAACACTTTTAAGACAACAACACAGACTGTACAGCCAGGTTCCAGTCAGGTTCTAACAGATTGCAAGCAACTGGTGTTTGTTTCCATTCAAAGCCATGTTTTTGTTGCCATGCATAAAAATGGAGAGGATGATCTTAGTGCCTCTGTTGTGAACTTTGAAGATCATTTTTTTCCATGACATGTAAAGTCACAGATATGAATCAGGGCTTTTTATAATTTGTTTTAATTGCTTGCTTAAAATATATAATTTTTTTTAATGTGCATAGTCTGGACACAAGTTCACTTTAACCACTTCCCATCTGGCCCATTTACATAAACAGCCAGACTGGAGCAGTGCAGGAGCGGGTGGCCGTTTACTGCCTGTGCGCAATCCGGTGCCCGCTGTGTCTGGATGGACATCTGTGGGAGGTCCCAATTCATGTGATCAGTGATTGGCCAATCAGTGATCAGGTGAATTGGCAAGATGTCACTTCCTGACAACATTGCTTACTACTTGTGAAATTTGTGAATGATCACAGAGGTCACATGGTACAAGGCTATTCACAACAGCCTTGTACCATGTGACAAGCTGTGTGTCACATACCTGATTGGAGACTGAAATGACGAGGTTTGCCTCACTTGTGTCACTAGCCCTGACCCCACTGGAAGTGGAACAGAGGGTGTCTAGGGACCAGGGGGACAAGAGCGCCAGCAGATGTTGTTTGCAGCTCTTGCAGTTGGAGACCTTGGAAGACTGATGAACCTCCAATTCAGGAACCGTAGTGATATGCAGAGCTGGTATGGTAGATCGCCAGGTGTGCACCAGAGCAAGGCAGGAAGCTGGGGTGGGAGACAGGAGCAATGTCATAGGAATAGCCGGGGTCATGTTAATGTTAATGTCATGTTGGGCAGACAGCGAGGTACCAATCATAAGCAAGCCAAAATCAGGAGCTGAGCCGGAGACGGGAACAAGTGTCAAGCAGGAGAGTGTCTCCCACATTATAGCTCCTTTCAGAGGAGCTTAACTTTCTAGAAAAGACGGCAACAGGATGAAGGAGGGATTTGAGTCCCTTTCGTTGTGACAATATAGCTCCAACAGCATTTTCAGAGGCATCTACTTCAAGGGCAAAGGCTAAGGCAGGATCTAGGTGCTTCAGGATAGGATCAGAGGTGAATAAGGTCTTTAATTGTTCAAACGCTGTTTGAGCCTCGGGAGTCCACTTCAAAGCAGCATGTTGCCTGGTTAACTGTGTGACTGGTACAATGATACCTGAAACGTTCTTAATGAATTTCCTGTAGAAATTAGCAAATCCTACAAAACGTTGCACTGCTTTCCTGTCTCTTGGAATGGGCCATTCTAATACGGAGGTCACCTTTTGGGGATCTATAGCAATGCCATCGGGAGTGATCACAAGTCCCACAAACTGAATAGTCTGTTTCTTGAATTCACACTTTTAAGCTTTGGCATAGAGGTGATGGCGTAATCTACCCAGAATCTTCTTTGCATGATCCCGGTGTTATTCAATTGAGCTGGAAAAGACTAGGATGTCATCTAAGTAAACAATGATATATAGATCAAGATAGTCCCGAAATATATCGTTCACGAAATGTTGGAATGTTGCTGAGGCATTACAGAGGCCAAAATGCATCACCAGGTATTCAAAATGCCCAAAGCGTGTTCGAAAGGCTGTCTTCCATTCATCCCCTTCACGAATTCTGACTAAATTGTAAGCACCTCTCAGATCCAGTTTTGAAAAGACACATGCCCCTCATAGCCTTTGGAACAATTCGGGAATCGGGAAGAGGATAGCGATTCTTGACGGTTATCTTATTCAGATCACGATAGTCCACACATAGTCTGAGAGTATGATCTTTCTTCTTGACAAAGAAGATGCCAGCTCCCGCTGGGGATGTAGAGGGCCAAATAAACCATTTTTCCAGGCTTTCATCTATACAACTCTGGAGGACCTCTAGTTCCAATTCGGAGAGAGGATAAATTCGCCCAAAAGGAATTTCAGCACCGGGCAGAAGTTCAATGGGACAATCGTAGGGGCGGTGCGGAGGAAGAGCATTGGCACTCTTTTTGTCGAATACATCCAGGTAATCATGGTAAGCGACAGGGACAAGTTTTTCATCATCTCAGAATCAGGATGGATACTAAGAAGAGGAGTCACTGTGCATGGTTCCTTTGGAATGCAATGGTTCTGACAGTATTCAGAAGGGAAGAGGATCTCCCCAGAAAACCAATTGATGGATGGGTTGTGCGCTCTTAGCCAGAGCATGCTGAGGATGACGGAAACATTGGTGAAGTTATGACATTCAGACATAGAAATTCCTGATGTCCCGAGGAGGAGTGGCAGAAAATTGGCATATTCTCTTGTGTCACAGGACCAGAACTGATACCAGAGCCATCAGACAGATGGACCGAAAGTCTCTGTGTCTTAGTACAGAGGGGGATGTTGTTTTGGTTAGCGAAGGTCGAATCCATGAAGCAGCTACAGGCACCAGAGTCTATAATTGCTGAAACAGTAATAGTTCTTTCAGCAAGTTGGAAGTGAAGGTGGAAGGAGATGTGCGCTTGACTTGTTCCTTGGGGGTGCATCATATGGACCCAGCTAGGAGAATGCTTATGAGGTCTCACTGGACATGTCATTACATAGTGCCCCGCATCACCACAGTAGAGACAAAGGTTGGAATTTTGTCATCGAAGACGTTCAGCAGAGGATAGAGGTGGTCTCCAAAAGCTCCTTCTAGGAGAATTATGATGCCTTCTTTTGCTGGGGAGTATGTCTGATGTGACAGCAGTAGTCGAGGGGACAGGAGTCCCCATCTCTGAGCAAATCAAGACACCCCTGCTAGTTACAAAAGGTTCGGAACTTCCTGCAGTCTCCCGTGAAATACTCAGGTATTGGCACCCGGGGTTCCGGTAGAGGAGAAGTTCCATGAATCATGCTGAGCTCTGTCTGGATAGTTATGTCTGAGTCTGCAGAGGGACCCATGGCTATTGAGACATCTGACTTGGTTGGTAGTTGGTTCTCCATATGCTCAAGGTTTCTTTGCAAACTCTGCACCATGTAAGACAAGGCAGAGATTGATTGACAGATGTCCCCCATTGCAGAGGCCTTTTTTTCAGACTCCATCATTGGCTTACTGGTACTCTCACGTGCCTAATTGGAGACTGAAATGATGAGGTTGGCCTCACTTGTGTCACTAGCCCTGACCCCACTGGAAGTGGAACAGAGGGTGTCTAGGGACCAGGGGGACAAGAGCGCCAGAAGATGTTGTTTGCAGCTCTTGCAGTTGGAGACCTTGGAAGACTGATGAACCTCCAATTCAGGAACAGTAGTGATATGCAGAGCTGGTATGGTAGGTCGCAAGGTGTGCACCAGAGTAAGACAGGAAGCTGGGATGGGAGACAGGAGCAATGTCATAGGAATAGCCAAGGTCATCAACGAGCAGACAGCGAGGTACTAAATCATAAGCAAGCCAAAGTCAGGAGCAGAGCTGAAGTCGGGAACAAGTATCAAGCAGGAGAGTAATCAGAGTCAGGTCAGGAACAAGCCGGGTCAGCAACAAGGAAATCACACAGGAACGAGCAGGAAACAGGGAACAGCTGAAGACCAGTCACCACTCAGCACAGGCAGAGGCACCTTTTAAATAGTTCATCTGGCGCCAATCTTCGCCGTGCGTGTGCGCGATCGCGCATTTTCCGTGCGCATGCGCACAACCGATCACTCATCATGCGCATTTCTATTTGCAAGACGTCCACTGGGATTCCCTTACACTGTGACAAATCACAGCTCGCACAGTATTTCTCAATGGCTGCAAGAATGCAGCCAGAGAGAAGGAGAAATTATTGCTTTTACAGCCTTTATGGGTGTAAAAGCAATCAGTGTAAAAAAAAAAAAAAAAAAAATCTCCATCACCCCCCACAAGTAGTACAGTGTCACTATGGTGACACTGTACTGCTAGGGTGACAGTATGTTAAAAAAAACCCATAAATAATAATATAAAGAATAAAATAAAAAATTACATTTTTTTTAAATTATAATTTTTGGTTATAAAAACTAACTTGGCTTATTTTTTTTTACTAAAAAGATAGCTGAATACATTTTGGCCAAGATTTATGAAGAAAGATTATTTATTGGCAAAAAAAAAACACTTTTTTTTCAAAATGTTTAGACTTTTTTCATTTATATAGCAAAAAAATAAAAATCCCAGTGGTGAATAAATACCACCAAAATAAAGTTTTAGCTGTCTCAAAAAAATGCTAAAAAATTCACATGGGTACAGTGTTGCATGACCGCGCAATTGTCATTCAAACTGTGGTAGCACAGAAAGCTGAAAATTGGCCTGGAAAGGAAGGGGGTGAAAGTGTCCGGACTTGAAGTGGTTAACCTGAATGTAGCTGTAAAATTAACCTACAGTAACTCCCAAACCTATCACGACAGGAGAAAAATACTATTGTGCCAAAAGTAAATAAAATAAAATAAATGTAATATTGAAGCTTTGCCATGAAATCCAAAATGCTCAAAAATCCAAAACTGAATCCAAAATTTACTTTTTTAACTGATTGCTAATATTGAAACTTTGATTCTGTTACTAAATATGAAGGTAGCACAATTTATTACCGATCAGTTGATTCATTGGTAGGACAAAGTAAGTGTAATTTACTGTTTCGTTTTTTTTTTATTCTTTAAGTTTTTGATATTGGCAATTGGTTGCTAGATATAAGCTAATTTACTCTTTTGCCAAGCTAATTTATTACATAGATTGAGCCAGCTGATTGCTTAATTATCCACACAAGCTATGGACAGTCTTGGCAGAGATATTTGCAGGTGTCCACTGCAAACTTAGAAGTCCCATATCTGAGCTAGATGCTAGTAGAAAATTGTGCTGGGGTTATGATGCTGCTATAAAGGGAAAAATTTTGTATTTTCAGTGAGTCTCAGAACCATTTTATACTAGAACGTCTTAATTGGTTTTACAATTTACTTTTTTTGTCGCTAATACCAATAAAAATTTAATGTCAGCTGGAGATGGCATTTTTAACAATCATGTCAATGGTGACACTGAGAGCACAGAAAGTTATACACAGTCTGGTCCACCTGCTAAAACAGCAATTAATAGAAAAACAGCAAGGATTACTGTAGGAAGGGCACAGAATTATATCCAAAATGCCTAACAGAAGTAAAAGGTAACAAGATGATAAGTCCAAGATCATTTACCAACCCAAACAGTCAGTCATTGGCTGCCAAGCTATCGAGACTGTGTGTTAATCTACCTCACCACAACTGGATCTGTTATAGAGATCACACTTAAGGTACTTAGATTGAGGAAGCAGAACAGACTGTGTCTCCCAGGTAAAGCCCCTTACTATACGAAAAACTGATCATCTGCCCAGGTCTTTAACTGGCTTTTTAAACAGTGAACATGGAGGGCGTCACTATGTGAAAGATTCAAAAAATAGAACTATCCAGTTCAACTTGCCAGCCTACCCCAGTCTAATCATGGCTATTGTCGGCAAGGAACATGATATGTATAACTTATCAAAGAGGGGGATAAGAAAAGCCAGTTCAATCTGCCAGCCAGTTGGCCAACTATCAAAGACCAAATTAACCTATCTAGAAACATGCGTTTAAAAACAGGGGTTTAGTTAGCACACATTTGCCTCTTACTATACCTGTTTAAATCAGGTTGCTTAATACATATTAAAATCCAATTTGCATACTATTTGCATAATCTATTATAACTAGTACAGGCATTGACCTGTTTGATCAGGTTCTACAATCATAGCAGACAACAAAGAAAACATATTTATAGTACAGAAAATATCTATTTACCTGTTTCAGATCACAAAATACAATTGGCATGTATTTTACAAACAGGCAGATGGGAGTCTCACTCTCTTTTTAAATAAAAGGATAGCTAAGTATCTTCTTTTATTCTACTTTGGCTTTTCATTCTCTCTTAAAACTGAAGGCAAGAGAGGATTTATAAAGCAACAACACCTGGCTCAATTTCAACACTTTCTAGAAATTACTGCCAAAGAAAGTGTCATGTCTGTGGCAAGAGAGGTATAGAAAATGACATTCACTTATTTAGGACAGGTTGCTATTTAATACCACCCTTGCATATTCTTGACTGCAGCAGAATTTACTACACGGAGCCAAATTGTGATATCTTTATTTAGCTAATTTGCACTTTTAAAGCACATTTTTGTGTAACATTTGTAAATAACACGAAAATCATCACTTTCATTTGTAAAAATATACATTTTAGGTGTTATATATTTGCATATATCCAGTCACTACTCATTAAGCCCAAAAACAGAAACAGAAATGCATCAGTAAAAAATACTATAAAAAATTGCCCCCCCTAGTAAAAAAAAATCAATTGATATGTTTTAGTGCAATTCTTCTAATGAAATTTTTAACAAATGGAAGTACATCAGTTTTACATACTAATATTTATATAAAATTATGTTGGAATGTTAACCCTGTCTGATTGACAGACAGAAAATATTTTTTCCCAGAATAAACTGTTATAAGTGTTTTTGGCAAGTGTTTGGATCAACTAGTTAAGGCCTTTTTTTTTACACCAGATACTGTTAAATGCATTTTTAAAGGATAAGTTCACCTTTACACAAAAAAAAAAAAAATGCACATTTTTTTGCAGGTAAAAAAATGTGCATTTATTATTTTTTGTGTTAGGAGTGAGACTCTAAAGCATTACACCAGTGATCAGCAGACTGCTGATGTTATGCAGGTCTTCTGCAGATTGTCAATGTATCTGCTTGCTTGTACATCCCGTACTAGTAAACTGATACTTGTGAAAGGAGGAATCAATGAATTACCATAGTGCTCACAGTGCTGTGGTAGTTAATTGAGGACTACAACCCGAGAGCTACTAAGGCTGTCAGGACCTGTAGTCCATTCATTCACAGAGGACTGTGAATGACTGACGGGGCCATGTGGGCAGGGCCCTGCGTGGCCACAATGTTTTTGAAAAGTGATAGCTTGTACAGGGAACTTTCCTCCTGTACGTCTGTAAGAGATAGGGGGGGGGCAGCAAGTGGCAGCTACAGGATCGGGAACATGCTAAAATGGGTGTAACATGTAACATGTTCCCAAAGGTGAACTTAACCGTTAAATGCAGTATGAACGCATAGGCAAGAAATATAAATATAAAAATAAAGGATTAATCTTACCAATTGGGACACAAACAGCAATAAAAACCTAACAGGCATTCTAATTCTTAAATGCGATATCAAAAACCAAAAAAAAAGTTTTTATATGCACCCTAAATTCCTAGATGCAGAAGAGACTAATAATTGAAGAAGCCCAGTAACTGTGTTCTAAAAGAAAAAAACTGCTTGATCACAAGCTTTTAAAAGAAATCTGTCAGCTCCTACTCTTGCATTGATGCTGCTGATAAAACCATTCTATAACACGGAACCACAGAGACAAGACGTTTGTGTATTGCAGTTTCATAGTTAGCAACAGCCTCAGTTTAAATTTTACATAAAATAGACTTGATATCCAGTCCAAAAAAATATGCATGCACAAAGACCTATGCCCTCATCTGAAGTGTGTTAGCAAGAATTGAAATTGTATTTATACAGTGCTGCTAGTAACATTTGAAAAACCACAAAAACAGTGTGTCAGAAGGGTTTGATCTATCTATCTATTTATCTATCTATCTATCTATCTATCTATCTATCTATCTATCATACCCTATCTTTCTATCATCTGTCTCATTTGTTAAGTCTTTTAAGTTTACTGGACTGGCTGCAAGAAAACAATTGTAGCAGAGCATTTGTGACACATTTTTCTTCACATAGAGAGGGTAGATGTGAACAGTCTACTTGAAACCCATGTAAAATGAATTTAATAAGTAGATTTATTATGAGTCAAACTCAGAGTCTATGTTTACAAGATTATTATCTTTAGTTGCATTTCAGATTGTTGGTATTGTGCTGTTACATTCAGTGCAAAACCCATAAATAAATAGGAAAAAGGAAAGTCGAACATAATTCTGGATATGCTTTAAAATGTATAACTGGATGTCACCAGAGACATCAGACAGGGACAGAGTAGCTTGCTTTCTCTTTGTATACTTATATAGTCCATCCACAGAGATAGCAGGCTATGAAGGCCTTTTACTTAGCTAGTAATCTGTCAAAGCTGGGGACTGCTGAACAAGCCACGTTAGCATATATTTCACAATCAAATGTCCAGCAGAGGCAGAAAATGTTGCATTATTTAAACGACAACAGCCAAGGCTGGATTTACAATTTTTGTTGCCACAAATCACTTTTTTCTTTGCTGTCATATGGCTCTCTATGGTCTAACTCCTCACATAAACAGAAAATAAATGTAATATATACTTCTGACATTTTTTTTAAATTGCACCCCACAAGGCTTAGATATTGTTTAGTTTAGGAGCTATATGTTCTAAAAAGATGCAATGTTCATGAGAGAAAATGCTAGTTGCCTAGCTGTTATACCGACCACTTTCCTCAATACACTGAACCAAAGCCAGTATTTAGAAGATAATATTTTTCTCTTTCTATTGGTATTGGTCGAGTAAGAAGTATGGAAGCAAGAGGGTAAGCCTGAAAACCAGGCAACATTTATTATCCTAATTATCCTAACTGACCTGTGTTCTGATCTGGCAACATTAATGATGATTTGTTTCTGCTTTATATTCAATGTCTTTCATTTACTTGAACTTTGCTTATCTTTAAAAGTAATGTACAGCTTTTAAGGAAGTTCAAATAGTTTCTTCGGAATAAGCTAGTCCAAACAAACTTTCTGAGCTTCATTAAAAGCTGGAGATCAGCTTTAACTCTGCTTTTA